TAAACCCTAGTCTCACAAGCCCGAAACACCGGAGGAAGTCTCGAGCCTGGGCCTGCAGCCGTGGCGTTTATCAGTGGTCTTCATAGCGGAGAGTCCATGAAAGCGGGAATTCAGAAGTGGTTCAGGGTTTAGGGTTTAGGGTTCAGGGTTTAGGGTTTTTTTGGGTTTGGGGGTTTAGGGTTTAGGGTTCTCCAAGCCCCCCCCTGCCCACCTGGAACTCGCCCCATGCGTGAGCCATCTTGTGTTGTGAGATCTTGTCCTTACTGCTTGCAAGACTTTGTGTGCATTGTCTGCCATGTTTATGACTATCAACTCTCCATTGGCTTGGCCAGGCCATATTCATCCAATCCATGGCATGACATGAAATGGAATGTGATATGGACAGAGTCTTCGTGAATGCTGCTAGGTTTCCGGCGCGAGTAGCCCCTGAGCTTTCGCCCAGCTCGCTGCTGTCCCATGGTTGTGATCTGGACCACCCGCTCGCGAGTAACAGAAGACGGCTCAGTTCGACTGGTTTGGCACTCCAGATATCCTTCGATCATTTGTTCCCAGCCGTATTTTGTGGGGAGTCCCGGCATGGCTCGCCAAAGACTATGACAAGATTGTGGAGTTGGGCCAGCCCTATGGATCATGCATCATCCAGCAAGCAGATTATTGCGGAGACCCTTGGTGCTTAAGTCCATGGGATGATGAGCATGAGAACGAGCCCTTGCACGCCATGCGATCTCAATTCCCACAGTACAGCTTCGGTTTCTCGCCTGTGTGGCATGGCTGCGGCATTAGCGCCCATTGCAAACATATGTTGCACATCACCAACAACTCTCCCGAAGCCGGCGAGGTGGTAGGTGTGCCAGAGCAACAAGCCATGGACTTCTCCGTCTAGCTCAGTGTTTTCACTTGCCCTGTTATCTGCGACCCGTGAGGCTATTCTGATGAACATCAGGAGAATGCAGATCTTGTCATGCTGCCAAATGACGATCGTTTGGTTGTCAAAGTATCCAGCACAGAGCAATTTCTGTGTAACTGTGTCACTCCACTTGGTGATCACAATATACTGTTAAGCTGTTTTGTTGTTGAACTGTCGAACGCTATGCGGTGCTTGGAAATACTTTGGCTGAGAGACCAAGAAAGATTTTCAAAGCCAGCCTGAACCAAAACGTCCTTACATCCGAGTGCCCCGATATCTTAGCAATACCATGGTGATGATACCATACTGACCATCTATTACCATGCACCGCAAATGACACAGACCAGTAGCTGCAGGTGCGGACAACGCCTGGTGCCACCCAGAAGAGCAACGTTCCCTGCCCCAGCCGTGGCCCCAGCTGACAATAAGGATAGTGACAATGATAATTGCAACACTAAGTCTCGTCGCAATCATCGTCGTCATCGTGAGCAGCATCATAATCGTCATGGTAGTAATAGTCATACTACCTTCGGGTCTTCAGATTTGAGTTTGAGGGTGAGGGCGGATTCCTCGGCATTTAGGGGCAAAAGGGTCTGCTGAATGTTCGACGAACACTCGACGAACACTCCCACGTCTTAGGTTTTAGGGTGAGGGTCGCAGCTTTCAGATCACTGAGCTCGATGCCTTGTGGTCGAAGGGGGTGAGGGGTGTGGTGTGAAGCGCAAAACCGGGCAGGATTCTGCCACACCTGTGACGTGTCAGGGCCTCGGTGCATCCGGGGATGCTTCGTCAAACGTCAGCAGTTTTCCTGTGCAGTGGAGCCTGACGGGCAAGCGCCGAATGTATCGGTCCTCACGGCTACATGTGGTAGGTTGGGGCATTCTCTGTTTTATACTGGATGCAGGCTGGCGCATGCTTCAGCTCACTTTCACAGTTTCCATGTGCGGAACTGTGATGAGACCCACGATCCGATTTTCTGAGCAACTCCTCAATCGCATGTTTAGAGCCAGAGCCCGTGAATTCAAAAGGCAGCCGTGTGAGAAGGAGCCTGGTGAGGGCTTGAAGGGGTTTGTATGAAGTCAATATTAACCATTGAAATTTTTATACTGATCCTATACGATATACGGGGTTGCAATCTCAAGCTCCGCTCTGCAGCTTCGTGTGCGAGCCGAGGTACAACAATTCGCTTTACGTCTTCGGTGGCTACGACGGCCAACAGCGGCTCAACGATTTTTGGCAGCTGGGAGCTCGGAAGTTGGGCGGTTTTTGGACGTCTGCCAAAGTAAGCTTGAGCAAGGAGGACTCGGTGTTTTTTGCATATGACTTCGTCTGTATGATGTTCCAAAACGGAGGGCTACCTGTTAGAAGAGGGGCCCCTCTTCGCTGAATCTGAACCCTAAACCCTAAACCCTAAACCCTAAACCCTAAACCCTAAACCCCTAAACCCTAAACCCTAAACCCTCTTCGCTGAATCTGGAACTGCAAACTGAGACTCGCCAGCAGATGCCACAGCCCTGGAAGCCTCTTTGGCCCAAGATGCAACCAGAGCCTCCCACTCGGCCGCCACAGGTTCAAGCCCCTAAACCCTAAACC